AGGCGAAACTAGCAGTATAAGGCAGAGAGAGTTTACTCTTAGCAGCGCTACTAACACTAGCATGCTTAATAATAAGCCCTTATAATAAAGGAGGCTAGGTAAAGCGCTTATATAATAGTACTATTTAGTAAAGGGGTTACCTTATAGCCACCTCCTTCCTTTAGTTAAGCAGAGGCTCTCCCTTTATTAATACTAGAAGAAATTATAAAGCTACTGCTACTTAGCTAAGTAAAGGCTCTCCCTTTATTAACACTAGAGGAAATTATAAAGCTACTGCTACTTAGCTAAGCAGAGGCTCTCCCTTTATTAATACTAGAGGAAACCACAGAGCTACTGCCACTTAGCTAAGTAAAGGCTCTCCCTTTATTAATACTAGAGGAAACTATAAAGCTACTGCCACTTAGCTAAGCAGAGGCTCTCCTTTTATTAACACTAGAGGAAACTATAAAGCTATACTAAAAGCTATCTTATTAATAGGCCTACTACTTTTTATTATTACTATCTCTATTTAATTTAGAATTATAATCCCTAGTCTTTATAAAAAGACAGAGACCTAAATAATAGCCCTTACTAACTAGCCTTATAAGCTAATATACTAGCATGCTAGACTTTATAGCTACTATATATTAATAAAGGATACTAGTAATATAGCGCTTTATTAACTACTAAGCTAAAGTCTACTATAATATCTTATAGCAGGCATTCTCTTTTTCCTATAGCTGCCTAGCTCCTTAAGAAAACTACACTAGCACACTTACTTTACTAAACTAAGAAGGAGAGGGAAGTAATACTACTAATATATAGTAAGGGTTAAGCTTACTTTAAAAGCTTAACTAGCACCTTACTAATATACTCTCTAGTTTAAGAGATATTACTTTACTAAATCCTTTTATACTTACTAATATATAATACCCCCTAACCTACTTTCCTTATTAAAAGCTATTACTTACCTAGCTGCTATTATTAAACCTAAATCTCTCCTTATAGAAAGGTAGCTAAGAGCTACTTAGGCAGCTGTTATAAGCTAATAGCCTTATTACTATCTAGTGTTTTTAGGATATTAATAGTGTCTGGCTTAGCGCTAATACCCTTAAGGCAGTAAAGCCCTTATATATATTCTAGCTCTCTTTCCTGCCCCCCTTTAAGCATACCCTTACTAGCAGCCAGCTAATCTAACTGCATAGCCTTAACCTTAGCTATACTTATAATATCTTTTTAGGCTTTATTATAGGCCTAGGCCTTAGCCTCTTTATCTTTATATTCTTTTTAAAAATAAATAAAGAAGGGTCTTAGCGCTATCCTTTATATAAGCGTATTATTAATGCCCTCTTATACTAAAGGCAGTGTAAATTAGTTAATTAGGCTATTTTACTAGCTGCTTATAAGGTTATCCCTTTAATTTAGCAGCAGGAGCTCCCCTAGTCTTTTAATATAGCTTACGCTAAGTTTATATCTTACTAAAAGAAACCTATAATATATTACTATTTTATTAAGGATAAGAGTTAGTTTTTTTACCTTTAATATATAATCCCTAGCAGTAGCCTTATAGCCTTTTAGGAGGAGATTATAAAGAGGTATAATAGTATTTAAATTATAAGGTAATCTTATTAAGCTAAAGAGGAAGGTAAAGGTTAGGAAGATAGCCAGAATGCTACTACTATAGCTACTACTAACTTCCCTTACTTCTAGAACCTTAAGCTCCTTTTCTAAGCCTATAACTTAAAAAACTAGTTTATAAACTATACTATAAAGCTAGCTTTACAGTCCTTTATTATAGAATTACATTCTTTAGTTAAGCTAGATTAGCTAGACCTCCGCTTTTACTAAATAAATATTAGTCTTTAAGATATAGTAATAACCTTAAACTTAACCACAGGCCATATGCCTTTTACACTCCTTTAAAAGCAGCTATACACCTAGCATTACTATAAGGAGCTTATAGACCTCTTGCCTAATATTACCCTTAAGCTAATATTTTACTAACCCTACTACTTATATAATATTTCTAATTACTTATTATAAGCACCTGCCTTACTAAAAGGCTGCTATCTTATATAGCATTATCTAGGAAACCCTATAATAAAGACCACTAGCATTATTTATATAAAGCTTTATAGCTGCAGTAAAGAGCTTTTTTTAACTTTATACTGCAACTACTAGCCCTTTATATTAGGCAGTATTATAACCCTTGCCTTTCTAGAAATAATAGCCAGCCTGCTTTATATAAGCAGGCATAAGGGCTAGGCTGCAGGCCAGGCTAGGACCTAGCTAGCTAATACTATCCTAGCCCTAGAAGCTATATAAAAGGTAAATAAGCAGCATCTTTAGGCTATTATTACCTAGCTAAGCCTAGTAAGCTATACTGCATATAAGGAGATAACATTCTGCCTTAATATTATAGTTACTATGCTTTATTATAGCAACTTTAATACAGACTGCTCCTTATATCTTGGCCTTATAACTAGGCTTACTATAAGGCTACCTAAAAATAAAGGCCACTACCTATTCTAAATTATACTAACTGCTAACTTAATTTAGTATATAACAGCCTAGGCTTACTGCCTAATTCTCCCCCTTAACTATATCTTCTACTAGGCTTAAGGCCTAGATAAGACTCTCTTTATAAAGCCTACTAACCTAGCTAATTAAAGTAGCCGCTTTAAAACCGCCCCTGTATATATATTTAGCCTTGCCTGCTTTTACTTTACTTAGCTCCTGCTATAGCTCTTTACCTTTACCTTATAAAATAGTGCCTAAGATAGGCTTAGCTTTAATAATTAGATCTAGCTCTTAAGCTAGAAGGTAAAGAAGTATAAGAAGGGCCAGCTTATTACTTATATATATAAGGGACTTAAACTTCACTTTACTATAAAGCGCTATAGTACCCTCTAGCTTAGGCCTAACTACTTTAGTTAGTAGACTAGTTACCTTTTATTTACTAGCCTTTTATAAACTTATATCCCCTGCAGCCTACTTTAAGCATACTAGTTAGGTTAAGTAAGCATTTAAAAAAGCTTAGTAACCCTCTTATTACCTGCCTACTATATATCCTACTAGCTAGACTATATATAGCATAAGTATAATAACCTTAATATTAAAGTGCAGTTAAATGCCTTAAAGGCTTATAAGATAGTAATTAATCTTACTGCTAAAGAGGTTAGCTGCTTTTATACCTAGTATATAATTTTAAAGCTTTAAGTATACTAGGCTTAAGTTCCTACCTAGTTACCCCCTAGCTAAAGAACTCCCTTACTAAATGCACTACAGACCCTTACTAACCTTACTAAAAAAAGCTCTAACTTAAAGGCACCTATTATAACCTTATAAAGGCTTTTAAGAATATATACAGAGGCCTAGGAAAGCTATAGCATAAGCTACCTTAATAACCTAGCAGCTCTCCTTTAAAATACTAATTACCTTATTAAAGGTAAGAATGTAATGCCTAACTATATCCCTTACTAGATAACCTTATATAAGAACTAGCTAATAAACTAAGGGGACTTTATCTTTTATAAACTCTTCTAGGTTAGGTTAAACTTAACCTAGCAGAACATACCTTTCCTTATCTTATACTAACAGCTTAAGCAGGCCTTTCTCTTTAGCATGCCTAAAAGACTTATTATAAATAGTTTAAGTAAGTATATATTCCCTTAAATTAGTAACCCTGCACTTTTCTAAAATAAGTACTTTAAGGGTTAAATTAGCTATTATATTATAGTAATATTTAATAGTAATAAGGGCAAGTAGATAGGTATAGCTAACTGCCTTAAGGCAAGTGTGCTACCCTTTTTCTAACTCTAATTCTAGGCGCCTTATATATCCCCTAGTAATATAAAAGTGCAGGAGTAGCAGCTTTATAATATACCTTATTATAAAAGCAGCTAGGCATATAGCATTACCCTTACTGTCTTATACCCTTATAAGCAGTTTAGGTCTAACTAGCTTCTCTAGGCTTACTAAATAACTAATATCCTTAAGCACTTAGCTAAGTCCTGGTTTAACTAGATAGGGGGAGGTCTTTAGTCTTTCTTAAACACCCCTTTAGCAGTCTTATAGGCCTTTTAAAACCTTATTAGGTAGAACTAGGAAGTTTAAGAACCCTTAGATAATAAGGACTATAACTCTTATCTGCAGCCTAGTGCCTATATTATTAAACTAATTAACTTTAACACCTAGTATAACCCACCACTTAATACTTCCTATTTACTAATAAGGAAAAGGCGGCTTTATAAAACAGATATCCGCTAGGTTATACTAAGGCAAGGCTATAAGGTTGCTTCTACTATTATACTGCCTATATATAAGATAATATATAGCATTTTATAAGCATACTATAATAAACTTAATAGCACCCCTGGCTATAAGAGTTACTAGGCAGAGTATAAGGGCATTTTAAACACTTATAAGCTTAATAAAAAGAGTTTCTGCTACTAGAGCCTTAAGGACTATATTACTACCCTATATACTATAAGGCCTAAGTTTAAAAGCTTAAGGAGAGATAGAAATAAAAATAGGCTTAAGAATAAAAGTAAGGACAGTCTGGCTTTTAAATTCCTAATATAAGGCTAGCCACTATAGGAGAGAGAGGTTACTTTAAGAAGTGAAAAAAATACTAGTAGTAGTAGCTAAAGCTATATTCCTAATAGAGATAGCAGTAATAGCTTAAGTAGTAGTAAGTCTTATAGTAATTAATACTATAATATATAGTAGCTTTTATATAACCCCTAGTTATAAAAAATAAATAACTTTAGGAAATAATACTTAAGGAAATAGGTTTTTTATATTTACTCCCTTTAAAAAAAGGTAATATAAGGTAATAGTAGTTAAATCTAAATGCCTATATAGTTAAGACTAGTAGGTTAGTAATTCCTAGGCTATAGCTTATTATACAGCTATTAGAATTACCACTTTTAACACTAGCAGGCCTAGGCAAGCTTTATATTATCTTCTTTAAATTTATTATAAGGTATGTTTAATAAAAGCTAATTGCCTATAAAAAG